CTTATTAGTATAACATTTTGAAAATCTGTTGCTTGTTTAATTTATACGTGGTTACGTTTATTTTATATTTAGTCTTAATAGTCTTAATAGTATATTTAGTATATTTATTTTATAAGTCTGTTATTTATCTATTATCTTTGATACTTTATGCAAATTTTCATCTCTTCTATAAGTTATTAACTTCTAACAAGTACGTAGTGTTGATATACCTGCAAGAAATCCAATCTCTAGTATTAATTTCTTATTGCTAGRTAACACTATAAATATATGCCTTATGGCTTATACTAACACCAAAATATAATTCGTAAAGAGTATTACTTTATGCTTATTTACTTACTACATTTATAAATATACGATTGTTAAAAAAAATGTCAACTATCTCACTAAGCATTAAAAGCCCTACTCTGCACGCCAAATTAATAAATTCCTAGAAAGTATAACATATAGTTGGGTAGGTGCTACTTATTAGTTTAGTACAAGWACTATAATAKACGTATGATATAGTTCTACTTTATACTTTGTTCCTTCATACATAGGTAATACATTTATATTTTATAATCTTTAGATTAATAAGTACTTACTTCATCATATATATTATTTCTTTCGATACATCAATAATCAATCATTGTTCTTCATATTTTTATACCATAAAAACACGTCAATACGTCATATTATCATATGAGGATGTCTAATAATTAGTAATACCAACTATATAATAAATAATAACTAATAAGATTATGATTTTTTGTATACATAAGCRTGTTTTGGTTAGTTMTTTGCAACAGCCAGATCTGAAAATTTAAATGTACTCAAATCATTAACTGCATTATATACCTATCTGGGATATGTATAAACTTATTCTATATTGTTTATACGCGTATTTACTTGACTACGTATTATCTATATTATAAACTGCAGTTCGTTTACCTATATCGTTAATGACATAATATATGGCGGGTATGAGTTTGTACTTCTTTGGCATATTATAGTGTTGAAATTTCACTAGATATATCTATCTCATATATTATAAGCCATAACTATATAGAAAAATATGTACTAACCACACCTATGTATGCTCTATTTCTAAAACATAATAATCTCTATGGAACCATATGGTGTTAAACATTTTACATTTCATTCAACTGCACCCTTTAATTTGTGTCCATACTTATTTAAGTATTATTCAGGCTTACTATTTGAATATTCATGACATTATATATATGTAATGTACCTAAGTACTATCTCACGGCCTATATTAAACAAAACGTCTAATTGTAAGTTGGAATGATTCTCAGAATGCACTACACATGGGTATGTGTGTATATTTGTAACAATATAAAATTATAAGTTTAGAAAATAGTTTGTATTTTACGTTTTAAATTTGTAATATTTAATGATATCAAATTCTTAAGTCTAAATCCGTTATAGTTACGTCTAATCACGATTGATATAAATTTTTATTTTTATCAGCTTATAACGGTTAATAATTATTCGAATATTGTAACTGCGAAACGTTAAATGTTAAACTGATAAGTATAAAATTAACATACGTGTGAATCACTGTATACCCGATATTTCATGTTACAACAATACAACTGGATAGGTTTCAATAATGGCTAGAGAACTTGTTGTGATTCTTGCTTATATAGCAATGGATATTTTCAGTGTGGTTTT